TGCCGAGGAAGGCCGTTAGCCGAAACCTCATATAGCGTCCTGTCTTTCTCTTTCTTGTGGTTTCTTCGTTTGTCCGGCCTGCCGAGGAAGGCTGTTAGCCGAAACCTCATATAGCGTCCTGTCTTTCTCTTTCTTGTGGTTTCTTCGTTTGTCCGGCCTGCCGAGGAAGGCTGTTAGCCGAAACCTCATATAGCGTCCTGTCTTTCTCTTTCAAGCTTGCGCTGACCTTGTTCGACTGTTTCCAACATATGGTACGTTTCAACATTCATTATTATTTTTTTTATTTGTGGGTAGCAAGGCAAGGCAAAATTAATCACTTTGAAGATCTGCTACAACAGGAAGTGACGTTGACCCCTTTATCTTCAAATGGATTGAATATCACATCCTATGGATTAGCCGTAAATGATCAAGAAAACTTGCAGGTTGCCTCAACTTCCACGGTCAGCTACGCCCCTGACTAGGGTATTGACATGAGCCGCCTTCAAATAGGAAATACTTTAATGATATAATGTTTTACTGGCGAGGTTGTTCATGCAAGCTCTTTGCAAGATTACTAACGAGCTTTATGTGTGCAATGTCTTCAAACAGCAATTATTAAGCAGCGATTTCAGCGTCATGAAAGATGAATTTGTTTAAGTAGCTATAATCTTTGACTTTGTAAAGACAATTTATTTCCGTGATTCTTGTAGCATCGTGAAAAAATAGTTTTTAATCGAATTTATTTTATTACGTTCGCGGTAATACTAAAGTGAGCGATTGGATAATAAGTTGTAGATTATTAATTCTCCACGACCTTGTTATGAGAACCATTACACTTGGAGAAGATGATTGATGTTTGCAAAGGAAATCGAATTAAAATTTTATCAGCGATAATAAGTTATTCAATAAACTGCTTAGGGCAACTATAAATAAAATAATATTGGCTTACGCCTTAATGCATATGTCTACCTGGTCATAACAACATAACGTCAACTTGGTCATAACCAAAGAAGTTTTGGCAGAATCAAACAAACATAACGGCAAGAAGAACAACTCAAGAAGGGGGTGGGGTGGCTCGGCTTTATTTGACAACTTCTTATCTTTTTCCACATCGCTTTGTTTAGTTTTTGTTGTTTGTTTAGTTTTTGTTGTTTGTTGTGGGTTTGTTGTTGCTGTTGTTTTTACATTAAGGCAGTGGTCGGCATACGCATTAGGCAAAAGAGCCAAAAATCACCAGCATGACGATTAAAATTTGTTTGAGGACCAAATTTCTTTTCAAGAACCTTTCAAATAATTTTTTTTATATTTAAAATCGATTTTTGGCCGAATGGGTGAGCCGCACTCAGGTCGTTAAAGAGCCGCATGCGGCTCGCGAGCCGCGATTTTACGACCGCTGCATTCAGGAATTTAAACATCTTAATTTATAAGGCAATGGATTTGATACGCTCATACCAATCTTAACGATTACATTTTTCTGCTCTACTCATTTTAGGGATTCCGATTTTTCTCATCTGCTAATGTTGAGGGTTCCTTTTTTTTTTTTACCGCAATCTCCCCAAGCCAGTGTTCATAGTCGGTTCCACAGAGACATGAGCAAAACATGGAGGTTGTCGGCCGGTCGTTCCAAGCCAGTGTTCATAGTCGGTTCCACAGAGACATGAGCAAAACATGGAGGTTGTCGGCCGGTCGTTCCAAGCCAGTGTTCATAGTCGGTTCCACAGAGACATGAGCAAAACATGGAGGTTGTCGGCCGGTCGTTCCAAGCCAGTGTTCATAGTCGGTTCCACAGAGACATGAGCAAAACATGGAGGTTGTCGGCCGGTCGTTCCAAGCCTACGCCTACGCCATGTTGTACAGAATTTATGTCCAGATTTAAGCTAGTTGTATGGATTATGTTTTCATTTGTTGTGGCTCGTTTTCACCCGACATGAAACAGTTTAGTTATAGAAAGAAAAAAAACAACAACTTACCATTTAATTTTGCATCAAAACACCCAAAAATAATAACACCATTGAGTAACCTTGGAGAGGTGGGGATTGGGGGATTAAAAAAAAACAGGTCAAAAAGATTAAGGAAGGATCTACTGTGATATAATTTTAACGAAGGAAGAGACATAATTAAAATTATCCAGCAAATAACTTCATAAGTAGTTTTAAGAAGGTAGGTGAAGATTTATTAACTATCCTTTATTATTATTTTTACATCTATTTAATTATCCAAAAAGTCTTTATTTTAGGCCTATTCTTTTTTTTCCCCCCAAGTTCCAAATTTAAAACTAAAGTTACATTTTTAAAAGTTGTTTGTTTTCGTGTAATACTTTGTTGTGAGAGCAACAATACTTCCGACACATCACAAAAGGTACGGGAATAACGAAGCGCGATTGGGTCGTGAGGTGTGAGTCAGAATCGTGTTCTCATGACATTGGTCGAAATGGGGGGAAAGACCGATAAACAGGTGATGTGTATATCTGATGGGTGGTCACCGGTCACCACTCATCATCATCATCAGTGGCACTACAGCCCAAGTAGGGCCTTGGCCTGCACCACCACATCTTCCACTCGGAGCGATCCATGGCTTTCCATCTCCATGATGCTCGAACCCCCAACTGGTGTAAATCTGTCTCCACGTCATCAATCCACCTCACCGGTCACCACTGGACGATGGTTAGTACTGAGGGTAACTCGCACGGTGTATTGAGTATCCTCGTATTGATAGAGTTGCTCCGGAATGTTTCTGGGTGTTGTTGAGACAGATGGTGATGAACTTAGTGACGCCCATCGTGTGTGACCGTGTTTGGGAGGGGGATTTTTTTTTTCTTCGGTGGAATATTACGTTGGAGTTTTGTAAACACGGTGTCGGTATTGTAAAATCTGAAGGGACACTTGAACATGGCTGTTGGCGTTCGTGTGTTCGGAAAGAGTGCTTTTTTTTTTTTGTTACCGCGTCGAAGAACCCTTGACAAAGACATCAAGAAAATGAACTACGGCAGGTCGGAGCGGGTCGTCCCACATTCCACTTCCTGTCCTCTCGGATACTACATGGCACCTAAGTGGATTTGTTTTGTTTTGTTTTTAAATTTATATTTTTGTTTTGTTTTGTTTTTTTTTGCTTTTTGTTCGTTGAAGAAGGCTTCTTGCCGACACGTTCGGTTTTGTTTTGTTTTTTGGTCCCCTTTTCAGGTCTTCCCATACTTTGTTTCGGTCATTTCCTGGATCGTTATGAACGTAAGGGTGGGGCTGGACCACCGGACAGAGAACCGTATCAAACGTCACAAACTTATAGCTAAGACTTCAAACTACAGTGAAACATGTGATAGTTAGATGAACCTTCAAATAGCGAGCTCCCTGACAAATGCGCTAACTCACAACCAGTACAGATCAATTTTATTTTTATTTTTTAAACTACCGGAAAAGCGTAAATAGGCTACTTGCAAATGCGAAATGAATCTCATCTAGCGCAGTTATCGGGAATTTCATTGTATTTTCCCTTTTGAAAAAAAAAAAAAACAAGAAAAAAACGGATTTTGGTGGTTGGGGTTGGCGATAGAGGCGGAAAATCTGTCAAATGGGTTGTTATCAACAACGAGTCTATGTGCCAAGGTTCAGCACGATAGCTGACGGGAAGGGGGCTGATTCTCCGTCCGAAGATTTTGCCACACAGCCAGTCAGTCAGCCACAAGCAAAAGCGAAGTTAATAAGAAGGATTTTTTTATTTTTTTTAATGACTTAATTTTATTTGATTTTTTTATTTTTTTTTATTTTTTTTTTTTTGAAATTCTGATGTTTTTCTTTCTTCTGGCGGCTGCATTGAGCCCTCAATTTTTGTAGCCCTGCCAATAACGTGAGTGAGGAGGGGAGTGCATTAATATTTGTTCAGTTGCTCATGTTGGGGCGTGGGACAGGAGAGGTTGTTGGAAACACGGGGTTAAGACTTGTGTATCTTAAATGATTATTATGATTTTTTTTTTTTTTTTTTTTTTTTTTTTTTTTTTTTTTTTTTTTTTTTTTTTTTTTTGTTTTTTTTTTTTTTTTTTGTTTTTTTGTTTTTTTTTTTTTTTTTTTTTTTTTTTTTTTTTTTTTTTTTTTTTTTTTTTTTTTTTTTTTTTTTTGTGTTTTGTTTTTTGTGTTTCTTACTGTGTTAGTTTTAGTATCTGCTGAAATCCAAACTCACCGTCAGCGTGGGTCACTTTTGAGGACCGGACAATGTCTGGGTAAATTAAACCATTTTTTTTATTTTAAAAAAAAAAGAAAAAATCCAATTAAGATGTGAGAGTATTTATTAACGCTCGTTAGGGAATATTTTCATAAGTGTGCAAACATTCATTTCTGGGATACACACGAGTTCCAGTGAGACTTGTGTTGTATCCAAGTATGCAAACGTTACCTTCTGGGATACAGACAACGACTTCCAGTAGGTCTTGTGATGAAACAATAAAAAAGTCTATTTGAAAAGTAAAAACTTCTAAAGCAATATTTAAACAATAAAATGATTTTCTTTGGCAACAAAATTTGTGTCACTTTGACTTTGAAAAATATGGGGCACAATTTTATTTCATCCATGTTATCAATGATATAAATTCTTATTCTAGAGATTCTTAAACTTTTCCACTTTCTGTACCCCCTGCGAATTGCTTGACTCGCGCGTCTACGAGTAATAAGAGGTGTTTTGTAAAAAGAAAAAAAAAATATTTTTTTTTAAAGTTTCTTTATAACGAGCTTTTAGAAGTCCTAAAATAAATTCAAAAATGAGCCCAAAATATTTTTTCAAAAATAAACGAAGCATTTTACAAACTAAAATTTGAAGAAATACAGCAACAAGAAATAGTGTTTTTTTTTAAACGTACCATTCATATTTCTGATAAAGTTTGAAAAAATTTAAGTTATAGAACACATTTCATCTTTTCATATTTTTAACCCCGTTTATGTAACGTTTTCAGTTAAATTCCCAAAGAAAGAATGCTGAATCAAATGCTATGTGAAGAATATCTATAACACTTTACATTTGTCGGTTGATTCTCCTCGAAACATCTCTTTCATTGCAGCCCTGAAGCGCCTGTTAAACGCGAGGTACACAAACACGTTGCACGAAATATTGAAAGCCTCAAACGTGTACCTAATGGTATTGGCGATGAAATAGGTATTCTCGTAACGCCTCAAGAGATTGAATTCCGGTTCACACAACATTGCGTAGAAAAACAGCAACTTGGGCGTGGTGCACACCAAGAATATCACCGAAACGATGGCAGTTGATTTGATGGCCTTCAGTTCCTTTCTGTGGACATTTGTACGTGGGGGTGGTGTAATGTAAGTCTTTTTATTTCTTCCGGGCGTAATACTTTGGTTCCGATTGTTAATTGTGCGGCCATCAGACGAAACAGAATGTATTTGGTTTACAAAAGTCTGCAAAATCTCATTGGATATACGTTTTCCCTTAGTCATTGCAGTTTTTGTATAGCCAATTTCTAAGTGCCCATTATGGGTGGCGTTCCTAAATTTGGACGACGCTCGTAAACTCGATGCCAGGATGACCAAACAGACTGAGACGGTAGCTTGACACGTTGTCGTGGTGACCAGAGCCATAGTGCTTCGGAATGACATCACGTGTGCCCTATTTTGGGACGTGGTAAGCTTAAATACGGTTGCATTACTGGCCGGGTCAAATGTTTCCTGCAGACCTTGCGAGGCAAATATCGGTACACACAGCGAGAAACCCACCATGCAAATTCCCGCAACAGCGAAGGCTGTTCTGGTCTTTGTGAATATGTTTTTAAATCGGAACGGTGACGCAACGCACCAGCATTTCTGCAACGCTAGGAATGTCGTAATCCCTTGGGAGATGTCGTAAACTGGTCCGTAGTAGAACATAATGAGCAAGGACAGCGTGTCGCCCTCGACACGCCATAGCTGAAACATGAACTTTGAGAGGAGCAAGGAGCACTCTGCCGATATCAGAAACATGACGCAGATCAGATCGGCTCCGGAGATAGCGAAGAAACAAACGGAGATGCTGTCCTTGAGCCCAATTTTTAAAAAGATGATAATGTTGAAGACATTTCCAATCAAACCGAGCAGCAATATTGGTGGGTGTATGATGGTTCCCATGTACAGAGAAATAAGTTTTCTTGTTTCCAGCGTGAGTATGTCCTGAAGTGGAGTCAACTCCTCGGCTGCGATGTTCATTTTTTTTAAATTTTAAAATGAAAATACCGTGAAGTCCTCACATATAGACACCAAAAGTCCTCACATATAGACAATAAAGTCCTTAAATATAGACACCAAAAGTCCTCACATATAGACAACAAAGGTTCTCACACACAGAGACCAAAGGTTCTCACACACAGACACCAAAGGTTCTCACACATAGACACCACAAGTCCTCACATACAGAAACCCAAAGTCCTCACACACAGACACCAAAGTCCTCACATACAGACACCAAAGTCCTCACACACAGACACCAAAGTCCTCACATACAGACACCAAAGTCCTCACATACAGACACCAAAGTCCTCACATGAACACACCAAAGTCCTCACATACAGATACCAAAGGTTCTCACAAATAGACACCACGACCACGTCTGCGAATGTTCCCAAGAGGAATATGTTTAAATTACCTTCAATATTTTTTTTTATTAAAAAAAAATTATGTCATTTAAATCGAACTCGAACAAGTGTTGCTGTTGTTGTTGCTGCTGTTGTTGTTGCTGCTGCTGTTTTTGCTGTTGTTGTTGTTTTTTCATATGTGAACTACCAATTGAAAAACGTATGACAAAGACACAACCATCAATATGTTAAAAACATTTGGTGCTTTGTCCTTCTTCTTCTTGACACAGGCCAAGGTATGCAAAATTAGGACTGTTAAAATAAATGACCTAAATTCAGTTATTTTAATATAATATATTATACATATAACAGCTTATGACAACTGCATTTATTGACAATTCTTTTGCTAACGTGTAAATTGCTTTAAACGTATTTAAAATTGTTCTTGTGCGCACTAGGCTGGACTAGAATTTGAATTCAAAGTGAATGGAGGTAACAAGTCATGCATGAAACTAAAGTGATTAAAACAACTTGGCAGGTTGCCCTTAACTCTGTAGTCAGGAACGCCACTGACGCGCTGATGCCTTGGACGTCACTGACGTACACTTGAGTGGGCTAGACGCATGAGCTGCCTGCAAAATAAGAAATGCAAATAAAACAGCATCACATGAATCATGCGATATTTTATTGACAAGATCGTGTTGACAAAGCCTGTCTAAAGCGCATAATTAACTACCTGGGCGTAGGCTATGCATTCAAATAGTAATAATTTAGCAGCGATTTCAGTAGTAGCGTCATAAAAAAAAAAAATGACTTCTGCTGAACAGTAATCATCTTGCCGTTGAAAAGCCTTTAATTATGACCGTAAATTATTGAAGCAAAAACCATTTCTGATCGAGCCTAACTTAACCGGACGCATTAATGATACATGTATATAACACAAATATACCGAAATATATATTGAGAGAGCGAAGTAAATGATAATTTGTTATAGATTATCCACATTTGTGTTATTACGGAACGTTATACTTTGAGAAGATGATTGCTACAACAATATTTCAAAACCACCTAAAGTATGCCCCCCAAACACACAGTGTTGACTTTATAATTGTAAAAATATAGTTCTCTTTACTACAGAATTTACTGAATGAATTGTTTGGTTAGGGCCAAAAAAAAAAAAAAACAGAATTTAATAATTTTTTTTTTAAAATGTGTTTAAGTTTAATTTTAAATATAAACATGGTTGTTAAAAAAAAAAAAAAAAAAAAAAGGACACCCATTATGGCTTAACATCATTTAAAAAAAAAAAAA